GGCGTTCCCGGGCGCTCCCGGAAGTCGGAGGTGCGCCTCTAGCCCAGCTTATCCGGAGTCAGCTGGCTGCTTCTGCGCCGGAGGTCTGGGCGCTGGACTGGTAGCGGGCGGAGACCTGCGTTTGGGCCGCGATTACGGCGTGAGGGTGGAGTAGGCCGTCCCAGACGCCGTTAATGTCGTTGTTGTTTTGGTGGAGACGGTGGGCCCTTACCTCCCTATCATTAAGAAAAAACAGTTTGGGCTCTTCCCACCAACCCTTTGAAAGGGCCTTTTACTGTTGCACTTGAGGCCACAGCAGGTTCCAAAAACAAAACCTTTTCTGCGTGATCTTAGACGACTGAGGGGACGAATGTGGTAACCCTAGCAGGTTGCTTTGGTGGTCACTGGCATGTGCTTTTGTGAAGTGCTGCAGACCCTCTTCAGGGTTGGGAAGAGGATAGGCTGCATCCTTCTTCCCTCAGCATTTGACAAAGCCTCAGAGGGATGCGGGGGTTGCGGGGAAGGTCTGGGATTGTTCTTTCTCTCTTGCTGACCATTTGACTCTCCCTTAATCAGAGCTTTTTTATCTTGGGCAAAGAAGGAGGCTGCTCCAACGATTAATTCTTCCCTGATTTACACTTGAAGAAGCCAAGGCAGGAGGTGAACTTTGAAATGTGCAGTGACTTAGTCCTCACCTGCGTTCTGTGACTGCTAGGAAGATGGATTGAGTCAAGAGGAAATTGTCATATTAGAAATGTGGAGTACTGGGCCGGGCATGGTGGCTCACTCCTGTAATCCGAGCACTTCGGGAGGCCGAGGTGGGAGTATCACCTGAGGTCACGAGTTCGAGACCAGCCTGGCCAACATGACAAAACCCCGTCTCTACTAAAAATACAAAAATTAGCCGAATGTGGTGGCGGGTCCCTGTAATCCCAGCCACTCGGGAGGCTGAGGCAGGAGAATGGCTTGAACCCAGTTGCAGTGAGCAGAGATGGTGCCACTTACACTCTATCCTGGGCGACAGAGGGAGACTCTGTCTCAAAAAAAATAATAATAAAATAATGTGGAGTACTGCAACTCTTCACAAAAAGTGAAGAGAAGACTAGGCTTGTTTAAAATGAAATTTGGAGTGTATCATTATTACTGATAAAATGGCAAAAATGATAACTTTAATACTCATTTTCCTCTGTCTGCACTATACTGAGCCCCAGAGATATATTGTACTTTCTGGATTGTGAATATTAATGAGTATTAAGAAAAGTTCTTAAATAGCCTGTTTCAAACTGGGCAGCTTACATTTTGGTGCTTATTGATTTATAACCTGTTAACACCCATATGATCTGGGAATCTGAAGAAAATATTTAACTTCCCATGCTTTAGTTGGATATTACATTCTGGCAAAAATGGTTGACTGTATTAATCTGTAGAACATTGATTTTGAGCCATATGTTTCCTGTATTTTTATTTTTAGTTTTGAAAACAGAGTCTTGCTCTGTCGCCCAGGCTGGAGTGCAGTGGCACGATCGTGGCTCAATGTAACCTCTGCCTCTGGGGTTCAAGCAGTTCTCCTCCCTCAGCCTCCCAAGAAGCTGAGATTACAGGCGTGCACTACCACACCTGGCTAATTTTTGTATTTCTAGTAGAGACAGGGTTTCACCAGGTTGGCCAGTCTGGTCTCAAGCTCTTGGCAGTCTGCCCGCCTCGGCCTCCCAAAGTCCGGGATTACAGGCATGAGCCCCTTCTCCCCGCCTTCCTGTCTTTAAAAAATTTATTCTGTACTTTCTCCGTGTTTCTGACTGTGGCATATTCATTTAACATAGATGAGTAAGGCTGTAAGAGTGGGTCTCTGCATCTGGATTTTTCCGAAGACAGATTATTTGCTGTCTAGAGAGGTAGCATGTATTAGTGAGCCAACAGTGAAAGTTTGAATGAAGGGACAAAGATTTCATTCCAGGATCCTGCCACTTTAGGTGGATCATTTAGCTCCAAATCTTAGTTTCTTTATTTGCAAATTGAAATCATGATAAAATTTGCTTCAGGGGTCATGATGCTTGTTTAAACTCTGTTTCAATTCTTGTCTCTTGCTGGTCCTTCCTTGCTGGTCCTTAAGTCTCTTCCTTGCTCAGAACTTTTGTTTATCTGGGGAAAGCTTCAGGCTGCTGTAATCATGGAAGTTGGAGAAGTCCTCCGGTCACTTGGATAACTGAGCAAAATCAGAATTCTGTTAGTGGGAAAAAAGAGGGCAATGGCAGGTGGGCAACTAGCATTTTCTGCCATTCTCTTGTTATGTGTGGTCATCACAGAAAAATGGGGAAAAGTTAATTAGAATATTTTTGTATGTATACTCACCCTGCCTTAGAAGGTAATTTGTGAAATTCCTTGGGATTTCACATTAATTTCAATAGAAAAAAATTCACTGTCCTGAGTCCCTGAATTAATATTTATTTATGGAAAACATTTACAAATTGCATTCAAATGGACATAATTATTAGTTAAAATTAGTTGATATAACAGGCCAGCACGTCTTTCTTACTCTGTAACGTGGCTTTGTAATAATATGGTTATGCAATATGTCTATATAAGCTGCCTAAATTCAGTGTTTTTGGATTTCTTTCATTCAGCTACTCACAAGGCCTTCCTAAGATACACAGTGCTCATAAAGTTGAATCTTTCATGTGGAAAAAAGAGGGGTGGATGGCAAAAACGAAAGAAATCACTGAAAACCATGCAAAAGATGCATAAGATTAACATCAGACTAAACTAGCAAACCGCAAGACTATAGGGAGAACTGACTTGGGTCAGGAGTTAAGCTCCCAAAATCCAGTGGATCCAACTAGAGGCCTTCCCAAGCTCCACCACACTCAGGAGCACCTGCAGGTCCTAGTTGGTCTTGACAAATTTGAGGAGACGTGGCAGAGACTAAAGGAGAGATACCAGATAGGATTCCTCATAAAGTAGAAACCTTTTACCCAAAAGGGCATTTTTCAGGGCATGTTGTAGTTCCTGCTTGTTTCTTTACTGTCTGTGAGCATTTTTAATATTATTAAACATTCTTACACAGCATCACTTTTGCAAACTGCTAGATATATTTCAGAGTGTTGATGGGCATAACTGATTCTCTTCTCTGTACATGCTAAGTGTTTTACCTACTTTTGCTGTTCTATGTAATGCTACCAGGAACAGCTTTGCACATAATCTTTATCAGCGTCTCTGATTTGATCCCTCCGAGTAAAGAAATACTGAGTCAAGGAATTATTCCTTTCAAAAAAATAATTTTAATTTTACATTTAATTCATGTCTATTGGGGAAAATTTGGAAAACATAGTAAAAGTGTAAAGAAGAAAGCAAAAATCACCCTACCATCAAGATACAATCCTTGTTAACATTTTGGTGTCTTTATGTCTTTTTTTTCTGTACTTACATCTTTATTTACATATATATATATGTTACACAAATGTGAATATGATTTTTACAGATTTATTTGTCAAAAACAATTTTGAATGGCTATACAATATTCTGTTAGGAGTGTGCTGTAATTCATTTAACAATATTTTTTATTTTTGGACAATTAAATAGTTCTCTTTTGAAAATAGTTATTCATTTGATGATGGGCCGGCATACATTGGGTTCTGCTAGGCTCTGGAAATGGTGCACAAGACAAGTTTTCTGCCTTCCGTGAACTTCATGAGAAATAATTCTCAATTACAGTACTGTCTTACCTGTGAAAATGTCTAATGGGAAGACTTAGGATGGCTTCCTTGACAAAATGACAGTTCCCTGACACCTAACCAGGCAAGAAGTTGGAAGAGTGTGGCCTAAGAGGGTGGGACAGATGACCTTTATGGAATGGGGAAGACCGCAGTTTTGCATGCTCCAGTGATCTGTAGTGAATGAAAAAGGAGGCCTAAAATCAATGTTATCTTTTAAGCCCTCTGTCTCCACCCCCTCCTACCTCATTCTCACTAGGATTGCTCAGTAGGGCCCTGCTGACAGTGATCCCAGCTGAGAATGTTGGCATTCTCAAAGCCCAAGGAAATACCATCCGTGTGGATAAACACATGGGTGGCTGGGCCAGCCATAGCCAGAGACATAAAGCAGGTAACAAACGTGTTTTCGCAAATATATACATATGTACATATGTACGCATGTACAAATATATACACATATATGTATATACATATATACAAATATAGCTATATATCTACGTATACAAATATATATGCATAGACACATACACAAATATATGTATATATACACATACACAAATATATGTATATATACACAAATATATATTTTATGTCATGTATTATATATATTTATACATATACAAATATATGTATATTTATACATCTACATATATAAATGTATACATATTTTTTTCTCATAATCCTTACCACTTCTGTGAGGCGGTCGTTGTTTCATTTTGCAGATGAGGAAATTGAGGCACAAGTGCCCCAAGGTCACAAGCTGGTGAGTCACAGAGCTAGAGTTCACGTTCATAGTGGAGGGCCAGTGCTCTTGGAGCTATGGCCCCTGGTCTCTTACCTCGAGCGCCTGCCTAACCCCACCCCTCAGTCTTCAGGCCTTCATCTAGGCAGCCCCTCACCTCCACCCGCTGCCTATGTCCCACCGATGTACTTGTTTCCTGAGGGCACTTCCTCTTGTTTGGTAATGTCTTATGTCCTAGGAAAGAAGGCGCATAGATGCTGCTGTGTGAGCTTCCTCTGCTAGACAGAGCTGGCCCACAGCCTTTACATGAGGCGTAGAAGGCTGGTTACCCAAGCCACCTGGAGCTGCCCACTGCACAACACCATGGGCAGCCAACGGGTTTCCAGAATCCTCTCTCCCCAAGGTATTTATTTTTTTCATTTTTAACTCCCCGCCCTCCAACATTTTATCATGAAAAACACCAAAGTCCGAAGGTTACGTGCACCACGAGTATCGTCTTAACACTGCTTGCATGTAATTCTCATGTAATTCTCCGTCTCCCTTCCCGTCATCTGTCCATCATTCTATCTGACTTTTTGATGTATTTCCAAGTACACATCAGTACACATCTCTAAATACTTCAGCATGCATACCACTAGCTAGAGTTCAACATGTTCACAGGTTTGTCTTTTGATGTAAAATTTACCTGCAGTTGTTAGGAGTACATCTGCTGAGTATGGGCAGATGCATATGCCTGCAACCCTAGCCCCCACTGATACCTTAGAACATTATCATCGCCCCAGAAAGTTCCCTCATGCCCCTGCCCGCTCAGCCTCACCATGCTCACAGGCGGCCAGTGTTCTTTTTCTGGCACAGATTGGTTTTGACTTCTGAACCATCGTATAAATAGAATTACATAGTATGTATTCTTTCGTATACTTTCACTCATCATGTTTTTGCATTTCGTTCATGCTGTTTTCATTCATGTGTATCAGCAGTCATTTTTATTGCTGAGTAGTATCCCATTGTGTTCATATACCACACTGTGTTCACTCATTCTCTTATTGATGGACAGCTGTTTCCAGTTTGGAGCTATTATGAATAAAGTTGCTATGAACATTTTACAAGTGTTTTCCGACATACATTTTGATTTCTCTTGGGATTGGAATTGCTGGGTCATAGTGCAGGTGTTCATGGTTTTATAAACAAAATATATGCCTATGAAATTTCTATGAGTATTTTATGCCCCAGAAAGGTTATTTTTCGTGGTCTGTATTTGGATGTACATATTTATTATTTTAATTTTTTTGAGACAGAGTCTCACTTTGTTGCCCAGGCTGGAGTGCGGTGGCATATGATCTCAGCTCACTGCTACCTCTGTCTCCCAAGTTTAAGCAATTCTCCTGCCTCAGCCCCCCGAGTAGCTGGGATTAGAGGCGCGTGCCACCACACTTGGCTAATTTTTGTATTTTTAGTAGAGACCGGGTTTCACCATGTTGGCCAGGCTGGTCTTGAACTCCTGACCTCGTGATCTGCCTTCCTCAGCCTCCCAAAGTGCTGGGATTATAGGCGTGAACCACCGCGCCCAGCTGGGATTTGGGTATTTCTGGAATACAAAACATTCATAGCCCTCCTCCTACTCTCAAATCAAAACACAGACATGCACATTCACATGCACACACCAGTGTGTCCGTGTCCTGTTGGTTTGCATAGGGTTTCTGTTTTGCCATGAAGCTCTTTGCCAGCCCTTTTCCCAAAGTGTTTGTACCATTTTATACTCCCACCAATGATGTTTGAGAGGTCTGGTTGCTTCTCATGTTTGCCAGTATTTGGTGCTATGAGTCTTTAGTTTTGGATATCCTGGTAGTTGTGTAGTAGTGTCTCATTGTGGTTCTCCATGGGTTTTTATTCTTCATTTCAGTTTGGGGAAAATGAATGAATGGAAGAAAAGAAGGGAGGAAGGATGAAGCAAATAGCTGTGCTTTGAGATCTGACACTGTATACTTCACAGCCCTGATGGATATTCTCCAAATTCTACTCCCTTTTCACATTTTCTTCTTAGAGTTTGCATTGTTCTTTTTATATTCTTCAGATTCCTTTTGTTCATAATTTCTTAAACCTATTCATTTTCTAATGCCTTTCAGTTGTTAATTTACTGAAGTTCTTTGGTGCTTACTACTGCTGTTTGCTGTAGCTGCAGGGTCTGTCTCACGGCGAATTTTTTCTTTTGTGTTTTATAATTTTGGAAAGGGAGCTTATGTTAAATTTGTATTTGTGGGAATTCTGTCTGGCCTGGCTTGAGGGTATTGTTTGCTTTAGCCAATAACCTCAGGATGGCATCAGCCTGTGACCACTTCCTGTTCATAGTTAGGGGATCCTCTCATTTCAAAGTCTGTATCTATTTGAAGACAGGCCCAAAGTTATAAATTTGCACAGACCTTTTTTTTTTTTAATACCTTGTGCCCAGTCCAAGACAAATATGTTTGTTTGCCACAGGCTGCTTTTTTTCTAGTTCATCCTTTCATCAAGGGGTAGCACATTGAGCAGTGCCATGTTAAGCAGGGAGTCTTCATTCTACCTGCTTTTCTTGCATTCCTTGACCTCAGCTGGGCTTTAAACCTCGAATTCTGGATGGCGAGATTGGCACTGCCCTGTGTGAGCTACTGCCTGTCTCTGGTGCCGTTTCTGTCCCTAGAGTTCTTATCCTTTCCACGGAGTTCTGGTATGCATTTCAACGAATGTTTGTATTATGTTGTCCAACATACTTATGTCCTTTATAGCCAGAGAGTTCTTAAAATTTCCTACTGCTCCATATTGCCAGAAATAAAAAGGCTGAGGGAATAAATATTATAGTCTTTTGTGATTCTTAAAAATATGAAAAATAGCTCATCAGATGACTGTAAGTCTATCCTCAAAAGTCCAAGGCACACCAAGCATGTGGAATGTTACAAAAGTTTTTAAAAATGATCTTTTCTGCCAAGGGCAATGGCTCATACCTGTAATCTCTGCACTTTGGGAGGCCGAGGTGGGAGGATCCCTTGATCCTAGGAGTTCGAGACCAGCCTGGGCAACATAGTGAGACCATTCTGCCCGCCCCCAACTCTTTACAAATAATTTAAAAATCAGCCGGGCATGGTGGGGTGCACCTGTGGCCCCAGCTACTCAAGTAGGCTGAGGGGGGAGGATTGCCTGAGCCCAGGAGGTCGAGGCTCCAGTGAGCTGTGATTGTGCCACTGCACTCCAGCCTGAGTGACAAAGTGAGACCCTGTGTCCAAAGGAGAAAATAATAATAATAATAATAGTAATAATAATATATATTCTTGTTGCCCTGAGGTATTGTCTCTGTTTTCTTTACAGGGTACAGCTCTGACAGGGGAGAGAAAAGTGACACCATTTTGGGTATTCTTGAGCTTCAGAATGCAACCAGACATGTCCTTGAATGTCATTAAGATGAAATCCAGTGACTTCCTGGAGAGGGCAGAACTGGACAGCGGAGGCTTCGGGAAGGTGTCTCTGTGTTTCCACAGAACCCAGGGATTCGTGATCATGAAAACAGTGTACAAGGGGCCCAACTGCAGCGAGTGAGTGGGGGCAGGGGTGGGTGGGCAAGCTCGGAGCGGGATGGGGACGTTGGCTGCTGTAGAGCCGCTGGTGGGTAGAGTGAGAGAGAGCCTGCCAAGATGTCAGGGTGACGACGGCTCTTATGTTATTGTCACTGACGCGGACTCCGAGGCTGGGTAGTGAAGGGCTCACAGCTAGTAAGTAACAGAAAAGACATGAACAAGAAGGAAATAGAGAAAGACAAAGAGATAAGTGTGGTGAGGGGGACAATGAAAAGGAAACAGGAGGATGAGTGAAGACAGACCTCTTCACTTGCTTCACATTCTCAGTGAGGACCAGCCCTAAGTATGAAAATAAAAAGGCAGTTCATTCCTGAGAGGTTCTGAGAACCTTCCCTTGAAAGCAACCAGTAGAGTGGTTTTACCCCATCCCTCCTTTGTCAGAGTGGTTTTGAGAGAGGCTGTTTTGTTTGTTTGTTTGTTTTTTGTTTTTTCAATCACACGGTCCAGCACGGTGTTTTTTCAGGTTACCTTGCTGCTGTTCATGTACTTTTTATTCATTGATTCATTCATTCATTCCTTCATTGATTTACATTTTTTGAACATGCACTGCCAGTTACTGGGCAGGAGAACTGTGGAGAAGTGAGAAACTGCTCTGCCTTCTAATGCTTCTGGCCTGTGCCTGGAAGAGATAGGTACAGACTCAAGCATGACCCCAGCACGTGGCAGTGATGTGTTGGAGGTGTACACCAGGCTCTTGAGGTGCTGACTCTGCCAACCTCAGCATAGCACCTTTCCTGCCCACAGGCACAACGAGGCCCTCCTGGAGGAGGCGAAGATGATGAACAGACTGAGACACAGCCGGGTGGTAAAGCTCCTGGGCGTCATCATAGAGGAAGGGAACTACTCCCTGGTGATGGAGTACATGGAGAAGGGCAACCTGATGCACGTGCTAAAAGCCGAGGTAGAGAGTGCCCCCCCACACGGGGATCCCCAGCGCTTGGGCCCTGGCTGTCTGTTATGGCTGCCCTTGGGGTGTGTGTTTGCAGCTCATTAGTATAAAATTTGCAAATTGCTTGGTAGTTTGAATTTTCTTTTCCTTTTCTTATAGAGACAAGGTCTTGCTATGTTGCCCAGGCTGAACTCAAACACCTGGTCTCAAGCGATCCTCCCACCTCAGCCTCTCAAGTAGCTGGGATTACAGGCTCAATTTCCTGAAGTCAGTTTCTCCTTAAAACATCTCTGCCTTGGTCCGGCTCAGTGAGTGGGTCACTCCTGTAGTCTCAGCACTTTTGGCAGGAGGATCACTTGCACCTTGGTGTTCAAGACCAGCCTGGATAACACAGTGAAATCCCATCTCTACAAAAAATACAAGGTGCATGTGAACAGAGCAAGACCCTGTCTCAAAATCTTCCTTGCCTTTTGCTGCCCTGAGAGTGGTCTCTTCATCCTCTCGATCCTGCGGACAGTCCTCCGTAGTCTGTGTCTTAGGAATGTGATTGGCTGTTTACCATACCTGTCTGCTGTTCTACAATCTACAGTTCAGAGATAGGCCCTGTCTTCATGTTGCAGACATCATCTGATGTGGAGTATATGCATGATGGGATGACAATTAAATATGGATTGATTAACGAAAGGATGTACACTGTAAATGACCGTAAGAGCAGACAGAGTATTAGCGGTTGCACTTTGAAGCCATTCAACAAAGTTTTATTTTAAAATAAATATAGAACATTAGCGGCAACAACACTGGATAGGATTTAAAACAAAAATAAAAATTGTTTACCAAAATCAAATTATTTGACAACATTTTTAAAAGCTAATGTGCCTGTTAAGATGAAGGCCTTGCGCTAGTAGCTTATAAATCAATAGCTAATATGACGCAGGCAGTAAAAGGAGGCAGGTAACTAAATGAGTGGTATGGTGTGATGGTGGTTTTTTTTTTTCCTTTTTTAAGAGAACGAGATCTCACTGCGTTGCTCAGGCTGGAGTGCAATGGCACAGTCACAGTGCACTGCAGGCTTGAACTCCTGGCCTTAAATGATCCTCTCACCTCAGCCTCCTGAGTAGCTGGGACTATGAGCATGAGCCACTGCACCCAGCTATGTGGTGGTTTTTGTTTTTTTTTTGAGAGGATTCTCATTCTGTCACCCAGGCTGGAGTGCAATGGTGCGATCTTGGCTCACTGCAACCTCCACCTCCCTGGTTCAAGCAATCTTCCTGCCTCAGCCTCTTGAGTAGCCGGGATTATATGCGCCTACCACCATGCCTGGCTAATTTTTTTATTTTTAGTAGAGACAAGGTTTCACCACATTGGTCAGGCTGGTCTTGAACTCCCGACCTCGTGATCCAACCGCCTTGGCCTCCCCAAGTGCTGGGATTACAGGCATGAGCCACCACTCCCAGCTGAGGCTGTTTTGATAGACATACTCATCGTCTGCTGTGGGAGTACAGACGAGAGGCACCCACTCAGCTTGGGATAGACAAGAAGGGCTTCTAATGTGAATGACAAGTAGATGTTTTCAAGCAGAGAATTACGGAACAAGTGTTCTAGGCAGAGAGAATACCATGTAGAGACTGCCAAATTTGGGGAACTGTAAATTCCTGGGTTTGGCTAGAGCATAGATTGCACAAGGTATGGGGAGGGGTGGCGGGATATGGCTGCCTTTATAGCAAATACTCCCACTTTTCCACTTTCTTCTCCTACCCCACAATTGCCAAGCCAACAGGCATCTCACAAAAATACCTTTGGGAAGGAGAAGAGGTGATCACTTACACTCATGGTATTATAGTTTGATCAGATTGCTCTCCGCCCCAGAACGAGAGAAAATCAGCTGTTTGAAGTAAACATTTTGATTGGGAAATAAGTCTTTGGTCTCCCATCCAAGTACTAACCAGGCGTAACTCTGCTTAGCTTCTGAGATGAGAGAGAAATCATTTGGGACATGAGGCATTCTGCAGGATCAGCGAAAGTTCAGGTGTGCCTGTTTGGACTCAGTCAGGACATCAGGAGGACCTGAGAGAGAAGCAGAAAGAGAAGAGAGAGGGGGACCAACTTACTTTGCTTGCTCAGAAGTTTTGCCTAAGTCCAAAGGTATACCAAAGAAGAAGGGAAAACATCTCTTCTGCTACTTTCTGTTTGGTGGTGATCAAGCTATTAACAGTGTCGCTCAGCTACGTTATGTCATAAATATGGTTTCAGGGATAGACTTGGAATCTCACTTTTGTCATTAAAATTTTTTTCCTGTTAACCAACAACCGAAATACATATAAAGTTTTAGGAAACATCTTGTTTGTATACTGATTTTTTGTTGTTAAGCAAAACTGTATTTTAACCACTATAATAGAAACTGGAATTGTTTCTGTTAATATTGATGTTCACATAAGAAGAATACAATTATAGGAACCAGTGACCTGAGACTCTACAAAAGCCTGAAGTATCTGCTACCAGGTCATCAAATAGATATTAATTCACTGAAGCTTTGTCGTTTTAACATCATGTTTATCTCAGATTTTTCCATGATTGTAATCAGTGTGAACATGTTCCCTTGTATTCTTTTTTCTCTTAATGTTGTTTTACATGTGACATTTCCATGGCATTGTTCATGTCCTTAATGTAAACTTAGTATGACATCGTATGAGTATCCCATAGAAAATGCTTGCTTGTATATTTATTCATCCATTCATTCAGCAAGCATTCCAGGTATAATCCTAGGTTCTAAAGATACAGTCCTAAATAATATATATTTTTGTTCTCAAGGAGCGTAATTTTATAGTATTTTATACATTACCAAATTATTGTGGGATTTTTGTTTTTACACTAACAAAATACAACATGAATACCTTTTGCCCCCCAAGAATGAAATCTTTCTTGTTTTCCAGTGACAGCAGTGCTGTGGTGCGTCTGCTGGAAGGAAACCTGGTAACCCTCTCCTCAGGCTCAGATCCCACCACCCTTTCATGAAACAGTTGCTTTGGCCTATTTGATTACCTTTCCATTTCATAGACTTAATGTCACTTGTTTTAGATGAGTACCCCGCTTTCTGTAAAAGGAAGGATAATTGTGGAAATCATTGAAGGGATGTGCTACTTACATGGAAAAGGCGTGATACACAAGGACCTGAAGCCTGAAAATATCCTTGTTGATGATGACTTCCACATTAAGGTAAACCATCATCTGTAGGCTTCCAGAAAGTTGGGTGATTTTGGTTTTAATTCTCCAGTGTAAATCCATTCTTGTAAACTGGAGAAGCTAAAGGAAGACCTAGCTTAGCTTATAACTGGTGATGATGGTGCTGAAGGGCTCTACCAGCGATTGAAAGGAAAGACGCAGGCTTGATGGGATCAGGAGATAACTGTCAGGATAACTCATATCTTTTGGGGAGGAGTGGAATTGAGTGGGGGAGATGAGAAGCCCTCTTTCCTAGATTATGTTTTTCTCCTCTGTTAGAAACATTCAAAAGTTGCCCTTTCCATCCTGGAATGGGCCATTGGTGCCATAATGTGTCACCAAGACTCCCCTCCTCTGGAAATGCAGGGGAATGTGAGGGTGTATGCAGAAAATCTTTAGAGTTCAGATATGGCCTAAGAGTGAGATCAGCAGCCGGGTGCGGTGGCTCACGCCTGTAATCCCAGCACTTTGGGAGGCTGAGGTGAGCAGATCACCTGAGGTTGGGAGTTCAAGACCAGCCTGACCAATATGGAGAAACCCCATCTCTACTAAAAATACAAAATCAGCCAGGCGTGGTGGCGCATGCCTGTAATTCCAGCTACTTGGGAGGCTGAGGCAGGAGAATCACCTGAAGCCGGGAGGCGGAGGTTGTGGTGAGCCGAGATTGTGCCATTGCACTCTAGCCTGGGCCACAAGAGCAAAACTCTGCCTCTAAGAAAAAAAAAAAAGAAGAAGAGATCAGCAGTACATCAAAAACTTCTACTTTGAAATTTTGTTTTATATTTTTATTTGATTGTTTACTTTTGTGTTTTAAAAAATCAGTTTCCTTTGAACACGTTCTTTCCATTGTCGTAAAGGGAACAAGGGAAAGGGATTTCTCTTTTGTTCATTCAAGGGCAGGATTTAGCTAGCGGGGAGTGTCCTATCTAATTGGCTTTCGCAGCAGGAATCCAAGCACAAGCATCCAAAAGGGGAAGCAGCCCTGGGGGAGGCACTCAGGAGCTGCTGACACAGGGGCCCCTCTCCACCAGCAGGTTCTACGTCTAGTGCTTTGTCCTAGTCTTGGACAGGCCTTCAAAAAAAAGGCCTAGGAATAAAAATTCCTCATTCATAACCTATCTTCAAATTCGTGACTTCCCTCTTATGTCGTGGGTTAGAATCTGTGGATGTTAGGTAATCATGTGCCACAGTTCATCCCCACATGCTTGCTTGGATTCCTGCAGGCAGAAGTGGAACTGGCACCTGTGTTCTCTTCTTCACTGCACTGCTCTGTCATTTTGCCCTGCCAGCTCTGTTCTTGTTCTGTGTCTGACCTTGGTATTTTTCTCTCTGCTTTTTGTCTGTTTTTCTCCTCCTTCCCACCCCTTCTTCTCTTAGGTTCAGGCTACAGCTCAAAACAAGCAACACTGCAGTCCTTATCCTCAGCGTGTCTTTGGGATCCTTGGACACTCGCATCCATGGGCCTCTGGACGCCATTTGGGGAAATAGAAGGTGTAGTACTTAGCCACTGTCTGCTACATAAATGTGCAGAGAAGAAAATAACCATTTTTCCCCCAAGCCCCAGAAATAGTTGAAAAACATATGCAGAGTCAATGGGGAATTAGAACAAATATGTTTGGTTGTTACTGTTCTTGTCAGAAACCTCTTCTGCTTTTCCCCTCCCCCTTATTGCATAAGGAATGCGATACCAGAATTTCATGTGAACGTTTCCTGCGGGGAGATTTTACAAATGGCTGAGGAGACACACAGTTTCTATGAGTCTGTTGAGAAGTCACCATTTTGAACCTGCCCAGTGAAACCATTTCAGGAAAATTTACCATACCTTAGCCCTAGATTTAAAGTCAGATCTGATTTGCTTATGGCCTTCACCAAATAATCCCAGTGGCTCGATGTCTTTCGCAGATCGCAGACCTCGGCCTTGCTTCCTTTAAGATGTGGAGCAAACTGAGTAAAGAAGAGCACAATGAGTTGAAGGAAGTGGACAGCACCTCTAAGAAGAACGGCGGCACCCTCTACTACATGGCGCCCGAGCACCTGAACGACGTCAACGCAAAGCCCACGGAGAAGTCAGATGTGTACAGCTTTGCCGTCGTACTTTGGGCGATATTTGCAAATAAGGAGCCATATGAAAGTAAGGCATTAGAGGAGTGGGGTTTGATATGAACCAACACTGCCATATGAAGTAATGGGCTTCAGTGAAATCAGTTAAGGTTTATAATTGTTTATTCTTTTAATGTCAGTCTTGCCTGCTCAACTGTGAGTTCCGTGAGGGCAAGGACCATATCTGATTTATCCTCTGCTGTCTCCTCAGCATCTACACTCACTGTGCCTGGAACTAATAGGTGCCCAGTAAATTTTTGTTGAATGAATGAGTAACCCCATTTAGGAATCAGTGATCATAGGATGAATAGGACTCTTGATAGCGTGTCATTAGCTTGAGAGGTGCTGTAAAACTCCAGGGTTCTTCCTAGACAGGAAAGTTGATTGTTTCTGCTTGTGAGGACTTAGCCTTTCACACTACAAGGCATACACTTCATACTTTCACTCATTCACTTACTCCTTCATTCAAGAATTCTTTTTTTTCAGTCCCTACTGTGGGCACTTTAGTCGGCATTGGGAATATAAAGATGAGTAAGTCGTGGCTTGTGTAGGAGAACAGAGACACACTTCAGTTTGTTAAGTGCATAAACTAATGGATGTTTTCCTACATACTCGTCTTGAGTGATCATCAGCTCCCGTGGTTTGATGATCATCTCTTTGCAAATGCTTCTTAAATCTGTGTCTCTGGCTCTGGCCTGGATATCCACTTGTCTTATGGTCAGATCCATTGCAGGCACCAAAGGAACCTCCAAAGCAGCATCCCCCAGACACACCCATCTTGTCGACACTGTCCTGCCGCTCGCCCTGCTTCACTCCTCCTCATATGCTCAGGAAGTGGCATGGCCATCCTTTTACCAGGTTGCCCAATAAGAAACCTTAGAGTCATCCCAGACTTGCCCTTGCCCCTCTCTCCCACATTCTATCAGATCTCAAAACCTATGAATTCAAGATATATATATGACTAAAGATATATCTGCAACCCATCTGCCTCTCTCTGTCCCCACTGGCCTCTGCTTAGTTCAAACCCTCACTGTTTCTGCGGCTCCTTCCACTGTCCACCATTCATGTGGCAGCCAAAATGGTCGTCCTAAAAGGCACATGTGACCCTTTCCGTCACATATTGGAAATCCTTCCCAGATGCTCCATGGTCTTCAGGATGAAGTTCGAATTCCTCAATGTGGAATACAAGGCCTTCATATTCTGGCCTTTGCTTCTCTACTGGCCTCATCCCTAACCCTCCCTTCTTTGTCAGTTAGACTGAGTGAGGAATTTCTGGGATGTGTCATGATCTCTCTGACTTCTAGTCTGTTGATATCCTGCTTCTCTTGCCTGGAGTTCTCCTCCTTAAGTCCCCCTTTCCCATTCTTTACCTGCTAATTTTTCTGGACTCAACAAAGCCTTCCTGGACCTTTTTAGTCAGGGTTGTGCTACTGGAGCCCCTTGTACAAATTTTTTTTTTTTTTTCTTAGACAGAATCTCACTCTGTCACCAGGCTGGAGTGCAGTGGCGCAGTCTCGGCTCATTGCAACCTCCACCTCCCAGGTTCAAGCAATTCTCCTGCCTCAGCCTCCCGAGTAGCTGGGACTACAGGTGTGCACCATCACGCCCAGCTAATTTTTGTATTTTTAATAGAGACGGGGTTTCACCATGTTGGCCAGGATGATCTTGATCTCTTGACCTCGTGATCCGCCTGTCTCAACCTCCCAAAGTACTGGGATTACAGGCGTGAGCCAGTGTGCCCAGCCCCATCCTTTTTGAATAGCAATGATCACTCTTGTGTTTTAAGTCACTCTCATTAACTTGAGCTCCTAAAGGCAAGGACTGTCCCGTATTTGCCTTTGCACGTGGAGCGTGCCACTGGCCTTGCCCGCATAATCTCTTTGTTCCATCAGCAGGTAGCTTTGTTGAGAATTTTGTTTTATCTGCAGACATTAAGCTATTGTTTGGTCATCTCTGTAGTGGAATATGTCAGCTCTTTGTCTGACATATTCCACTCTATAGAATGAGGCAGCTGTACCACAGGCATACCAGAGGCTGAAAAAAATGAGCAGTATTGTTCAAGTTCTGTCACCTTCCTGCCTGAGAGAGGAGCAAGACCTGAAAGAAAGTCTCAGCCTCAGCTCCTCTTTGCTTTACAGATGCTATCTGTGAGCAGCAGTTGATAATGTGCATAAAATCGGGAAACAGGCCAGATGTGGACGCCATCATTGAGTACTGCCCAAGAGAAATTATCAGCCTCATGAAGCTCTGCTGGGAAGCGAATCCAGAAGCTCGGCCGACATTTCCTGGTGAGAGCATCTTTTCTGACTGTGTAGGATGCATCCTGTGTGGTGATTTTCCTAGTAAGATGTTGTTAGGAACTTGGTTTGAATCCTCAGAAAACTAAGTTCAACTTTACTTGTGGTTTTAAACTGATTTTCTAGATTTCAAACATGTTGTTCAATGCAAAGAAGCCATCTCTCTCAAAAGCATGAAGGCACATAAGGCCTTCTTGTTTCCTTTTTTTGTAACTAACTTTTTAACTTGGGTTTAAATATACATAACAGTAAATTTAACATTGTAACTGTTTTCAAGTGCACTGTTCAGGGGCAGTAAGTACAGTCCCACAGTACGTTCACTCCCCATCATCTCTCTCCCTGCCCCTGGCAACCCCCATCCTACTTTCTGTCTCTACGAATTTAACTGCACTGGGTACCGTATATAAGTGGAACCATACAATATTTGTCCTTTTGTGTCTGGTTGATTCCACCTGGCATGATGTCCTCGAGGTTCATCTGTGTTGTAGCAGATGTCAGAATTTCTTTCCTTTTCAAGGCTGAATAATATTCCATTGTATGAATAGACTGCATTTCGTTTCTCCATTCATCCGTGTATGGGCACTTCGGTAGCTTTCACCAGCCTTCTTTGCTTCTTCACCTCTTTTATTTCCATCCCCTCCCTTGTTTAGCTGGCATCTTTAGAAAGTATTTTGCCATGTAGACTGGCCCTGTCATACAGGGATGGGGAAAGGTGCCTGGATGTTTGCTGAGCAGTATTCTGTGGTGCGGATGTACCACAGTTTAACTAGTCACTCCTTGAAAGACTTGTTTCCAGTTCGCAACTGTTGGGACTAAAGCAGCTGTAAATATTCATGTACATGTTTTTGTGTGAATATAAGTCTTCATTTCTCTGGAATACCAAGGAGTGCAATAGCTAGGTTGTATGGTAGTTTCATGTACAGTTTATTTAAAAAATTCCCAAACATTTTCCCAGAGGGGCTGTGCCATTTTATATTCGGTGTCCGTGTGATGCAGGTTCTTGCATCCTCACCAGCATTGGGTACCCAGGCTACTCACACTTCTGCTCAGCCAACTACAAATTTATTTGAGTATTCCCACAAGCCCCACTTCAGGTCTGGGAATTCATTAGAAAGACTCACAGAACTCAAGAAAACATTTTACTTATGTCTCCCCTTTTACTGTACTGGGTACAATGCAGAAACAGCCAAATGGAAGAGATGTGCAAGGTGAGGTATGGGAGGAGGGTGTACAGAGCTTCCATAGCCTTTCAGGACACACCACATTCTGGTGCTTCTATGTGTTCAGCAACCTGAAGCTCTCCACACCTTCCCATTTAAGGTGATTTATGGAAGTTCCATTACATACGCATGATTGATTAAATCATGGTCGTTGGTGCTTGAGCTTAATCTCCAGTCCCTCTCTCCTCACTGGAAGTCAGAGGTGGAGCTCAAAGTCCCAACCTTCTAATTATAGCTTGGTCTTTCTGGTTGCTAGCCCCCATTCTGAAGCTGCTTAGTTTTCTGACCCCACCCAAAAGACACTCTTAGAAGACTCCAAGGATTTTAGGTGCTACCTGCCATGAACAAAACCAAACCTTTCTGATTCTCCAAGGTGTCTTATTTTATTGTTTCCTGTCTGTTTAGAGAACTTTCCTTAGTCATTCTTTTAGGATATGTCTGAACTCTGTCATTCCAAAATTTTTTTCCTTATAGGTAAGGTGTTATTTTTCTCTTGCTGCTTTCAAGACTTTGTCTTTATTTTTCAGAGATTTAGTTGTTATTTGTCTTGGTGTGGATTCCTTTGGGTTTATTCTGTTTAGGTTTTGCTCAGCTTCTTGAATCTGTAGGTTTATGCCTGTTACCATATCTGGGAAGCTTTTGGCCATTATTTCTGTAAGTACTTTTTAGCCCCCACTCTCTTTCTCTTTTCCTTCTGGAACTGTGACAACATAAAAACTGTATCTTTGGTTATAGTCCCACAGGTCCCTGAGGCCTTCTATTTTTTTTTTTTTCCAGTTAATTTCCTCTCTCTTGTTCAGACTGTATAATTTTATCATTCTGTCTTCCAGTTCACTGATTTTTCTGTTTCTCCTTGATTCCACAGTTGAACCATCTACTGAGCCTTTTTTTTTTTTTTTTTTGAGATGGAGTCTCCCTCTGTCCCCCAGGTTGGAGAATGCAGTGGCACAAGCTCTGCCTCCCGGGTTCACTCCATTCTCCTGCCTCAGCCTCCCGAGTAGCTGGGACTACAGGCGCCCGCCACCCTGCCCGGCTAATTTGTTGTATTTTTAGTAGAGACGGGTTTCACCATGTTAGCCAGGATGGTCTCGATCTCCTGACCTCATGATCCGCCTGCCTCGGCCTCCCAAAGTGCTGGGATTACAGGCGTGAACCACTGCGCCAGGCCTACTGAGCTTTTTATTATATTTTGGTCATTGAAGTTTTCAGCTCTAAAATTTATATTCTCCCCTTTTTCGCTGAGACTTTCTATTTTTCATTTGTTTCAAGCAGGTTCATAACTATTAATTGAATTGTTTTTATCATGGCTGTTTTAAAATCCTTGACAGGTAATTCTAACATTGCTGTCATCTCAGTATTGGCATCTGTTGATTGTCTTATTTCATTCAGTTTGGGACCTTTCTGGTTCTTCATATAAGGAGTAATTTTTCTGTTGAAACTTGTACATTTTCTTACTGTGTTGTGAGATTCTGTATCCTCTTTAAGCCTTCTGTTTTGGCTGAGCTTTTCTGAGACTGCTCTGACAAGGGAAGAGTGGTGGCCACCTTACTAGTGCTGGGTGGAGGTAGAAGTTCAGCCTCTCCACTCAGCCCTTATTGACGCCCAAAGTCAGAGGCTCCTCTTCCCTGCTGGTGAGGGGTGGGAATTCTGGCAGAGTCCACATAGTCCCCACTGACAGAGAGGTGAAGGCACCTCATTACGACTGGACAATGTTAAAAGTCCTGATTCTCCACTAGACCTCCTCTGACACTTCCCCAGTGGGGAAGGGAAGGGGGGTCTTGTTACTGCCATGTGGAGCAAATCCAGGCTATTCTTGTGTTCTCCTGACACCGTAAGAGTGGAGGGGCTCATTATCAGCTGGCAGGGTAGGACAGCCCTGGCTTCCTGTTGGGCCTTCTCTGACATTACCCCGGCGGGGATGTTGGGTTTGTTGGGTTACGTTGTTACTGGCTCACGTGGTTGGATGTGGAGGCTCTGCACTTGGCCTTAGCTGCTGTGGGTCGGGGTGCAGCCACAGGGTTTGTCTGTGGGGGTTGGCTGGAATAGAGTGGTTGTTGACTAAAAGTTTTCTCCTATCCAAGCACTAACCAGACCTGACCCTGCCTAACTTCCAAGGGCAGACAAGCTTGGGCACGTTCAGGATGGCATGGCTGTAGACTGGCTAAAGTTAGTTTTCTGTCTGCCCCTTGCTTAGTTCTTTGGCTAGAAAGAGCAGGCTTTGGTTGGAGATTTTTTTATCTGTGGCCATTGATGGTTTGAGGTTGCCACCTTTTCAGCCAAGTCTGAGATATGAGGAAAAGAGAAAATCCAGTGAACTCGCTATCGTGTGTTTCATCTGATCCCGAGGTTTCCCGCTGGTCTGCCTTCTTCTCTTCTCCTTTCAGAGACTCTGTACGTCTATATAAATAATACATAGGATGTTTTTGTTGTGCTTAGAAGGAAGAATAAGAAGAAAGTATGTCCACTTCATCTTCCTGGAACTGGAAGTTTCTTTTTTCTTTGAAGGCTAACAGCTGTAACCCATTACTCTAAATCCTTGCTCTGAGTATCCCGACCTCTCATAAATCTGATGCCAGAGGGACAGAAACAGGGAGTTCACCCATCCCTGTCCAGCTGGAGATGGACTCACATCGGGGAGCAGTTTGTGTTGCAGCCGGAGAAACTGCAGCACGAATAAAAAGCACAAAGAGCACAGGCTATTTCAGCAGAAACCCCTGGTTTCCTGTGTTAGCCCATCCCTTGTTCTATTCATCTTATTAGTCTCTATCAGAGTCAGTGATTTGGAGCTTAAGTTTTTATTTTACTGCTTTGCCCACAGACTGAGGTAAGTAATTCAAAGATAATAGATGGCTAATATTTTTTATTTTATGTTAGAAAATAATTAAGAAATTTAAAGTACATTTTATTCTTACAGGCATTGAAGAAAAATTTAGGCCTTTTTATTTAAGTCAATTAGAAGAAAGTGTAGAAGAGGATGTGAAGAGTTTAAAGGTAGGCAATATAGCAGATGCTTGAAATATTAGCATATCAAAATATATACTGTCAATCATGAAAACCAAAACAATGTGATTTGTTATTGAGATTTGAGGTAAGCTAGCTTGGTAAACATATAAAACAAATGAGCAATTGTCTGCAAATATCACCCTGTTGGCATACTGGACCCATTTCTCCTTCAAAACTCATGAAATGAGAGAACAAATATATAGCAGTATGAAAACAAAAGCACAGTGTCACTGGCAAAGAATGGAAAGTACCATAAGTGGATCAGTCATTTTGAGGAATTCTTGAAAGATAGAAAGACCACAGATTTATTCTGCGGAGACATATAACAGAAAAGGAAGACTAACCCAAGACATAATGCTGAGGAAGAAGTACTGGAGGGGCAGTCTTGGGTCAGTGTACAGAAGTAACAGCACAGTCACCTGGGACGCTGACAGGGGAGTCACTTGAGAACCTCATTTATGCTAGTTAGGAAAGTTGGCTTCTCTCCCTACTTCCCCTGTACTTAGCAACAGATGGCAGTAGCATCTGCCCAAGACTGAAGCAAGGAGGTGGTGTCTGGGGTGAGAGGGGCATGACAAGGCCCCGTTAGGAACCAATCAACTAAGAGGAATGGAGACCACCCTGCCCCGCCCCCGCTGACTCTGGAATCGAGCTACTGTCATACGTCTTCCAGCAACTTACCCCCATAGTCATGAACAGGAGGCTACGGCAAATGAAACAGGCAAACAGATTTTAAAATATAATTTAAAAAAGATTGGAATCAGCTACGATAAACTCTAAGGCAAAAAAGCATTTCCTCAAACAATCAGGAATATTTCATAATGATAAAAGGCCCAATGCATCTGGAAAGTATAACCGCTTTAAATGTGAATCCATCGTCAATAACATGATCTCAAAGTCAACACAGCAAAAAGTG